ACATGAAGGCATACATAGTACGTGTGTATGTATGCATGCATGTATGCATGCATGCATGCATGTATGCACGTTTGCATGTATGTATGCATGCATGCATGCATGCATGCGTGTATGCATATAGGTATGAATGTGTGTATGTATACATGTACATATGTATGTATGTTTGTTTGTCTGTCTGTCTGTCTGTCTGCCTGTATGTATGTATGTATGCATGCATGTATGTATGTATGCATCCCCATCGGCCAGGGGGTCCGCTGCCCAGGCGACCAGAAGTCCCGAAATCCGCAGAGGGGGGTGACGATGAGGAGGACGATAAATGAAGAGGAGAAGGAGGAGTACGACGACAACGAGGACGAGGATGAGCGGGAGAGGAAAGGGGAAAGAGGGGAGGAGGGGTATGAGGTTGGCTACCAGTATCCCCTCCTCGTCGCCCGTGCCCGTCCCCCTGGTCGACCGTGTCTCCACCCTCTGTCTGGTATGTTGTTGTGGTCGCCCGTACCCCTCCCTCCCTTCCTCCCTCCTTGGTAGTGTTGTTGACAATCGCTTCGCTACCGGCCTGGTCTTTCTTTGTCTTGTCTCCCTCCCTCCCCCCTTCTTTCCTGCCTCCCTCCCTTCTTTTTTGCGTTGGTCGAGCCCTGGCTTGCGTGAGCCCTCGCGTCTTGCTGGCAGCGGTCCTGGACAGCATGAGAGATCGGAACGCAGCGCTCGATCAACCTCAGAGTGATACGCGGAACCAGCGCGTGCACCATGGGAGATCAATGGGCGAAGAGCATCGGACAGGAAGAGAGGCCCGCTAGGGCACGAAGCAGTGCACCCCCGTCTGCTCCACTCCTCCCCCCCTCGCTGCCCTCCTTCGCCCTGCCTGGCCGCTGGCGTGGGACCCCGCGCCCGGCGCGGCCGGCGGGCGAGGGGCGCGGGCGGATGGCTACCTGGTTCTGCCCTGCCTGCGGCGCCCCGCACCCGCCGCACCTGGAGTCGTGCATCTGGGGGCGGTGCCGGGGGGGAGTCGCCATCAAGCATTGACGAGCCCGTCAGACTTGGAGCAGGCTGGAGGTCTGGGTGGGGTGGCCAGGCACTGATATTCCAGCGAGCAGGAAGGGGGACGAGGTCCGCGGTCCTGGGTTCAGAAGGAGTCTTGGCCTTTTTTATTCTCTGGGGGCTGTTTTCGGGCCCCGGGACCTTCAGAAACGGATCCGGGGTGAGAAATTGCACGAGATGGACCCCTGGAGGGTTTAGGGACAGATTTTGAACGGATTTGGCCTCATCCCCTCCTCCTTACCATGTTTTCGGGGTCCCAGCCAGTTCAGACCCCCAGGCCGCTTCCAACACTAGACAATGTCCTAAAACTTGGTGTGTGGCATGCACACGATGTTCTAAGGTCATCTCTGGCTGAGGCTGAGGCTGCCTTGATTTAATCACTCGGGTCTTTCTTACAAGTACAATGTTTTGGTGACTACACGCCAGTCGTTGAAGTGAGGTATTTTCGGATTTCCAGACCTCAATCTACTTTAAACGCCTTCCTAGTTCACGATTCGGTATGGTTTTGCTGTGCTTTGTTGTTCTTTTGGAGGACGTGAACCCAGTCTACTTTATCCGCCTTCCTACTTCATGTTTTTCCTACTTCTTCCGACCGATGCGTAAAGCATTGTCTTGGTCTAAGACAATTTCGTGGCAGGAGTGCCTGGACGGCCGGTCCCTGCTCAATACCACCCAGGGGGGTCACCGCCTCCTCCCGGAGGTCGAGGACCGAGAAGGAGGGACTCGGGGGTGGAGAGAACCCCCACCGTGACACGTCGATTAGTGACTTGTCCGTTTTCGGTTCTCGAGAGGGCGCCGCGGCCGTCATTTTCCAGGCTTGTGCCGCCAGGTTTGGTCCTGAGGTCTTTTTCATTAAACGTTTCGCTAAAGGCGGTTCTGTCCATTCCCGAGGGATCACTGACCGGGAGTGCCGTGGACGTCTGGGGTCGGAGGATCGCGCCGCATCGCCGGCATCGGCGATACGGCTCGATGTGGAACCCGATCGTCTCCACGCTGACGTCGGCGATGCATCGGCGACGCATCGGTGACGTCGGCGCGATTCTCCGACCCGAACCACGCGGGCCCCTCTTTCAGCTTTGATGTAGTTCACCTTGGCACACGTGCTTGGTGAATAACACAGATGTGAGCCAGCATATTTCAATACCAGATTATGTCCAACTTCGTATTGCTCCCAGTGTTTATCACATCATCGTTTACCGAACCACTCGGACCCCACTTGGCGGAGCTGACCAGGAGGGTCCGTTTCCTTGCGGAGGTGGCGACCCCTCAGTGATGACCTCCTCTGGCACCTCCCCGGGCATCTGGGGCTGCGACGGCGGCGGGTGGGGCCAGGGCGCCAAGCGGCCAAAGTTGGAGGCCAGCCTGGCGGCGCGCACACGGGGATACCCCAGTCGGCGTCACCCCTCCATATTTATACTGTTTGTGCGTCGCACCCCCTGGGGGCGATGCGCGCACCGAGGAATCTTATAGTGTATGCGTCGTGGCTGGCGCTTTGTGGCCACACTGCTCGGGAAACGGTATACTACAACATGGGCACACTGTATGTTCGGTTCGGACGCGCGCCTCCAAGGAGGAGATCTATGTCTCTGCACGTCCCACCCAATGTCCTCGTGCGTGGCTTCCTCGGGGTTTGAGATTTTCCAGGTCTTCGGCAGCCATCCGGGTTGGTGGAGACTTTCCCCAGCTTCGGGATGCCTTCCAGCAGCTGCCCTCCGCCGACAGCGTCCCTGGAAGGGGGGCCCTGATCGTCCCGAGCGGCCACCAGAGACACGAGCTGTGACACCCATGCACCAGACCTTTTCTTGCTGCGGGAAAACACGATAGACGTGTTCTGTTTGATTTGCGATTTTGGCCATTCAGGGGCTTTCACTGGATCCCTGGGCCGTCAGAAGACGGCTCGGGATGGAAAGCCAGTCCCCAGGAAGGGGCAAGCCTCTGGAGAGCCACGCGGCGAACGGAATCATGACGTCGGATGTCGGGGGTGGCGCGAGGAGGGGGCGGCCTTCTAATATGGGGCAGGGGGGGGGGCATCTTGAATAACGTTCTAAGATGGTGGCAGGGAGGGCTTCTTAGTAAGGCCGCGGGGCTTCTCAGAGGCCGTCCCAGCGTTGGAGAAACCCTCTCGGAAGCCAGCCGGCCCTTCTAGAGAGGCCCTTGCAGTCTAAGCACCCCCCCGCCGTCGAAGAAGGCCAGCCCCCTCGCGCTGCGCCCTGGTTGCGCGCGCCGCCAGCCAGCTTGCTACCGAAGAAGGCTGGACCAGTCGGGCCAAAAAATGCCGAGCCGGCCTGGCCGCAGAAGGCCGGGTCGGCCTGGACGAATGTGAAGTCCAAGCCAGACGCGGTGTGGCCCGCGAGGGCGCAGCAGGTGGCGGCCCTGGCGGGCTTCACGCGGCAGTTCCTGGAGCTGCCGCAGGCCCTGACAAAACAGGAGCTGGAGGTGGTCGAGGCCGAGCGCGCCGCGCTGGAAGTCGCGGTGGACGGCGGCCCGGACTCGGAAGGGGGCGGTGTGTGCACCAGGTCGCTTGGAACCTGTTTTTTTATATCCGCGATAACGGGCGTGATCGGGGGGGGGGGTTGGCCCTCCCCGATCACATCACGGTGGGTTTCGGCCTCCCGGGGCCTTTTTTGAACCCCCGGGCCCTCGGGAGGAGGAAGATAAGGGAAAGGGAGAGGGAGAAGAGGAGGAAGAGGGGATTGAGGAGGAATTCCGGGGAACATCTTGAGATTCTGCGGTTGCTGCTGCTGCTGCTGCTGCTCCTTCTCCTCCTCCTCGTCCTCCTCCTCCTCCTCCCCTCTCCTCCTCCTCCCCTCTCCTCCTCCTCCTCCCCCTCTCCTCCTCCTCCTCCTCCTCCTCCTCCTCCTCCTCCTCCTCCTCCTCCTCCTCCTCCTCCTCCCCCTCCTCCTCCTCCTCCTCCGCCTCCTCCTCCTCCTCCTCCCCCTCTCCCTTCTTCCCCGGTCGTCGTCTTCGCTGTTCTGCGCAACTCTTGCTCGTGCGTCGTCTTCCAGGTTGATCGCGATGATGCTTCAAGTTCTTGCGCAACTCTTCCCTTTCGCGCGCTTCCCGTTCATGTCAGGAAAGGTTTGAAAACGATCGTTTTGCCTGAGACATCCTCGCCAAATCGTGAAGTTGGGGTTCGTATCTTAAGACGTACGTATGTTGCTAAACATGGGCGTTTCGCTTGAGACATTCTCTGAGCATGGGGATGTTGAAATCGTCGGTTTAATTCGCGGACCTCCAGAAATGAGCGTTTTGCCTGAGACATCCTCGAACAAATGGGATGCGCCAAGCGCTCTTGTAAGGCATCTTTTCGGAGCGATCTCGGATGACCCCCAAGATGGCCCAAGCGCTTCGCTTAAGAATCAGCGTTTCGCTCGAGACACCCCGTAAATAAATCCTTCGAACGGGCCCTCGAAAGCATCTGGTTTCCACCTCCTCCTCCTCCTCCACCTCCTCTTCCCAGTCTCGGACAACAGCGACGACGACGAATTCCTGGGAAGCCCTGGAATATTCTTTGAGACATGCGGGGAAAACAGCGTGACGTGATGGGGGGGGAGGGGCGGGGGCGATCACGAGCGTTATCGCCCAGACTAAGAAAAACAGGCTCTTGGTCGGCGAAGAAACTCGGTGTGCAGTCGCGCTGCTGCCACAGGGAACGCTAAGCGCCAAGTGAGGAACGAAGCCCTCTTTGGCCCCCAGAGTGTCTGCTCGCACGAGGAGCGCTAGATGAAAAACGACGGATCCAAAGAATTGCACGGCGAGCCTCTTCTGAATCCGAACAGTTCCTCATCTAAGCGTCCAGACGCTCCAGCAGCCCACGATATACCGAGCTCCTTGGCCGACCAGACGACATGGTGTATACTTCGAGCCCCTCCCAAGGATGCCGCCAGTCACGGGATAGCCCCCGTGAGCACGTTCGAGGAACTCGCTGTGATCCCTCCCTACGTGTTTCCCGCGCTGGAGAGCATGGGCATCACCGCGCCGATGCCGATCCAGGCGCAGGCGCTGCCCATCATTCTGTCCGGCAACGACCTCGTTGGTGTCGCGAAGACGGGGAGCGGGAAGACGCTGGCTTATTTGACCGCCTGCGGCAAGCCCCGCCACTGCCGCCAACGTGCCATCGTTGTACAGAGGCGGCTCTGGGATCGTGGTACCTCGAGGCCACCGCATTGAGAATGGAAGGATGCGCCATCGGCGAGTATACTGTCGAGTTTGATTAGTAGTTCGACCCTGCCAAGTGCCTTTAGTAGGTCAACCCCGCCCTTGTGTCCTGTCTTCCGCGACACATGCCTTCTACATTCCTATGGCCATGTGGCCCTCGGAGGGGTCTCGTGTCCTCTCGCGTGTTCTCTCCAATGAAATTCGGCTGTATTTTGACTCAGCTATAATGGTTTTGATTCGCAGCAACGCAGCACGGCGCGCGTCTGCACGTGGAGGATCTGCGTGACGACGCGCATCGGTATGCAGAGGGTGTGCGTGACGGTGACGCCCGTCTGCACGCATAGGCTGCTGACGGTAAAAGCCCAGGGTTCGCCAGGGACTGCCCCCCAAAAACAGTGACCGGAACCTTCCCGAAACCCTCCGAAAACCCTCCCCAAAGGCACATCGGAGGGTTCCCGCCGGGTTTCAAGAGGGTTTTGGTTGTTTTGGCGGGAAGTAGTCGCTAGCGAACCCTGGGCTTTCGCATGGTACCGGGAACTGTTCAGACGTCCAATTTGGCCAATCGTGTTCTCCGATGGCGCACCTATGGGCCACACCTCCGCAGCCCCACTCTGGGCAGGGCCTCGGGCCTTACTTACGGCCTGGCGGGGAGCCGATGGGCACGAAAAGGCGGGCCTGGCGCTGGCTCGTGGAGGCCCAGTGCCATGACTCTACTTCTAGCGTGTAGGACCACGGTGGTATTCTGATACGCCCCAGCGTGCCATGTTGCCTTGTTGGGCTGCCGTAGGGCCTCTTAGAGGCTTAGAGGCACCTCGTGCTCGGGCTCGCCGTCGTCGCCCTCGTCGGTCGCCCCCTCGTGCTCGGGCTCGCGCGCCGCGGGCCATCGCTCGGCGCCGCGGCCGCGGCAGGCGCCCCGCCAGGACGCCTCGTGAAGGCGAACCAGCCTGGCATCGGCGCCAGAGGCAACAACGTGCGCAGGCGCGTACGCTGCTCCGTGTCCTGTACGCCGCGAGGACACTCTCGGAACACCACAGCGCCCAGCAGCAGCCACACGCCCAGAAGTACTTGGACCAGCCCGTTGACAAGATGACGCAGAGCTGGAAGCAGCAGCAGCAGCCCCGTGGCGACTCGAGGGAAAGGTGGTCAGGAGCAGGGACCACACACCTCGAGCCGTCGCAGCCGCGCGGCGCAGGGCCCAGGTGGACAGGAGCAGGGTCCACAGCCCAGGCGCTTGCGCGAGGCTCAGGGGAAAGGTGGTCAGGAGCAGGGACCACGCACCCTGGGCCAGCCGTCGGGGCGCAGCCGTGGCCTTGGAGGAGTTCATGGAATCGCTCAGAGTCCAGGACAGAGGCCGCCAAGAACAGGAGTTCCTGGAATCGCTCAGAGTCCAGGAAGCAGGCCGCCGTGTATATCCAGGAGCACACCCCCAGCAAGAAGCAACAGGCCATCGCCGACTCCGTGCTAGAGTTCCCGTGCTCCGAATCTCGTGACCACGAATCCTTCGGCCTGCCGCCAGAGGACCCCGATAGGAGGAAGCTTTGGACGAGGAGCCTTCGACAGCGGCTCGGTCGAGTCGCTGACCAGATCCACGGCGCGCAGGCGGCCCAGGTCGACGCCAGCAAACTCACCGCGGAGGCCTCGGTGATAAATTGCATGTTGGCGATGGCTACTGACCCACAAGTACGGCTTCAACACTGCCGCTCTCAGATCGAAGCGCTGGCAAAAGAACAGAAAGACATCTCGCAGAAAACGGAAGCTCTGAAAGCCAAGGCGGAATCCAACACCCAGCTCATCGCGGACCTGAAGCGCCTCGTCACGGACGTGAAGCTCGAGATTGCCGCCGAAGCCGACGCGGACTGCGAAGCCGACTCTGAGGGCGACCAGAAGCAGTACAAAACCAGGAGAGCCGATGCCCCATTTCGCCGCCGTGCCAGCCGAGGGCCTCCATCTTCGCGCTCGAGCAGGCCGGCCTCGCCAGGGCCCAGCATCGTGGAGCAGCTCAAGCAGAAGGGGGAAGAAGCGTGCCGAGGTAGGAGCAACCATGTCCAGATCGCCAACGCCGAGCTCCGCAGGAATACCGAAAAGTACGAAGAGGAGGTCGAGACCATGCGCCAGCGCTTCGCCGAGATGAAGATGCAAAGCCACGACGGGCTCGAGCACCGCGAGCAGGAGCTCTCCCAGAAGGCACTGAACGCGGCGGAGCAGGCCATGTCAAGGAAGAACGAGGCACTTCGCCGTCAGGAAGCACGGCAAGAACGTGGTTCCAGCAGCGGGAAAGAGCTTATCCACCAGATCTACGCCGAGAAGATGCACCACGAAACGCAGGGGCTGGATATCCACGAGCGCGCGATGAGGTACGACCTGGAGCGCCAGAAGATCACGTGCGAGCAGAAGCGCCAGGAGGCCTGCGCCATGCTCGACGCCATCCGCGCGGAGACTATCACCCAGACCAGTACGGCAACTTCCTCCGAGGAAGCAGCCTGCCAGCAAGCACAGCGCGAGCAACTCCATCGCGAGTGCGATCGTCTGCAGCGCGAGGGCCAGAGGATCAATCAGATGCACCAGGACCTCCACCTCGAGGAGCAGGCCGTGCGCGCCATTGCAGCCCAGGAGATGCAAAGGAAAAGCGAGATCGCCGTGCAGACCGCGGAGGCCCAAGCCGACCTAAAGCGAGAGGAGATCCAGCAAGAGCAAGTGCTTCACCAGCAGTCGGTCATCGCGGCCACGCAGCTCTTGGAGGAGCACTCCGCGGTCCAGAAGGAGCGCGAGGTCGTTCGCCAGCCAGCGGAGCTCCAGCTCGAGGCGCAGCGCCACATCCAGAAAAAGGACGACCAGCTCGAGGCCAAGGAAGCAGCGCACCAACGAGCAACCCTACAGCACCAGCTCTTCTTCAACGAGGCCCAAGCCCTCCAGCAACAGCTGCAGCACAATACCGAGCACGACCAGCACCAACGCGAGCAGTTCCTGGAGAGATACGGCCAGTGCGAGGCGGATATGCACCAGCAGCGGCAGATCGCCGACGCGGAGCTACGAGCCGCATTGGCACAGCGACAAGCACAGGAAGAGCATCGCCGCAAACAGCTGGCCCGACAGCAGGAAGAGCACCGTGTGCACCGCGTACTCCTTGAGAAGACCTTTGGGGGGCAGCTCGACAGCATCGCGCCCAGGATCGACGCGGACATGCTCGACAGCGTCGCCGGCGCCTTCACCGCGGAAGCCGAGAAGCAGAAGATGCAAGCTCAATCTGACGATGAAGAGGCCCACCAGCGGGACCACATGCGCTCCGCCCTCCACGCCATCGCCCCGTCGCGCGAGCTCGACTACGAGGTGAGCCGCGAACCGTGCTGCGCCGAGCTCGACCAGATGGCAGCCCCGAAGGTGGCAGCACTTCGAGGCGTTCCTTCATCACCAGGATCTTCGAAAAGGACTGACGTCACCCTTCTACTGCAGCCACTGCCAGACCTGCGGTAAGTACAGCAGCTGCCAGACGGAGATCATTTGTAGGTGCAGGCACTGCGGGAGCGAGAGCATCGTCGACCGTTCCGCGGAGCTCGGCCAAAACGGAACGCACCCAATGACGCAACAGCTCGACCAGGCCATCAATCAGCACAGCAACCCGCAGCCGCAAGCACCAGCGCAGCAGCCACCACCACTCCCACCACCAGCGATGCCACCACCGCAACAACTCGACCCACTCAGCGACCTCGTATCCCCCACGGAAGTCGCTCCGACGCCAGTAGCAGGAGACGGAACGCCCACGAATACCCCGAAGACGTACGAAAGCTTCTGGACAGCGACGCCCACCCCTTCCACCCACGACATGCCGACGACCAGAGCTTCGACGACCCCGACGACCGCGACCTCGGCGACCTGACGCACGCGCCGACGGTCCAGGCATCGCCGACCCCCCCCGACGAGCAACCGACCCCAGGGGCTCCCTGGGGGGCAGGGCCCTTCCTGCCACCCCCGACCCCCCTGGCCGACCCCCCGCCGCGTGCGCAGTCCGTGCCGCTCCCCGACGACCTCGACTCCCCGCGCCCCTTCCGACCGACGAACGCACAGACCACCCTACTTGGGAACCCAGGCTCCCCCCCACGCTCCCCGATCACGCTCGAAGACGGTTCCCCCTTCGCACCCGCCCGGCCCTTCTCCCCGAAGCCCCTGCCCGCGCGTTTCCACGTCGCCACTCCTGATCGAGCCAGATCTGTGCCACCTTCGGCCCTTCGCAGAACAAGCACCCACAGCAGGCCAGCGCGCAGGGTCCGCATCCTGGACGACGGCGATGGATTCGACAATCCACTGGACCGAAGGCGCTTCAACCCTGAAGGGCAGGAGGGCAGCTCGGGCTCAGGCTCGGAGACGACAAAACACTGAGCAGGACTCCCCCCGCTGGGGGGCGACTGGCCCAGCGGGGGGGTCCCAGCGCCACCTCGCCAGAAGACCGAGCACCTAGCCCGCTCAGAGTGGCAATACGTAACTACCCGCTCCTCGGAGCAACCACTGTGCCCCAGCAGACGAGCTGTGCGACCCGTGCGGTGCCAGCCACTCAGCGACGGGCCCAGGCGCCTCAACAGCCAAACGCTCCACTTGGGAGCCCGCCGACCGCCTCAGCGGTGTTGGCTTGTGGGTTAGCACACTGCGCGACGCCAGCGGCAGCGCAGCCTGGCACACCACAACCAGCGACAGCGACGCAAAACCCCCCCCCCCCAAAAGACTAGCTTCAGCACTATCAGCGAGTGGGTAATCTACTCAGCCGCGGCGCCTTGGGATCAGGACCACGCCCCTGGCAGCCCGCAGGCACCAGCAACCGCGATGGCACCGACCGTTGGGCCCAGGACCATCCCCTGGGCCGACCGCAGCAGTGCACCAACAACCCCACCAGGGCGGCCAGCGAGGCCAGACGGGGCCAG